TCAGTAACTTTTATTTTAATGGAGTTAATGATTTGTGATAAACGAGATAATGATTTAAATTTCAAGGGACAAAACGTACTAAAAAATACTTTAAGGGACAACTCGATATGCATTTAAGCCGTGGGAAAATGAAATAGTGGAGTGTGACAAATAAAAATGAATTTCTAAAAAAAAGACCAAATAAAGTAATAAAAAATAAAATGGTAGGTTGAAGATTTAAAAAGGAACTTTCTATATTCTATTTCAAGTAAAAGGAAGGAAACCCAATGAGGTGTTGGTTTTCAGGGTTGAATGGATTATACGACATCGTAGATAGTGGATGAGATTAGAGACTTTTGAATTAATGATCATGAGGCAGTTGGGTGAAGGTGGGTTCACCTATGTTTATTATTGGGATAATATGATACCAGTTGCAGAGCTACAGTTTGGTGAGGGTGGGTATGTGCTCACCCTAAAATCTGAATTTTCTTCTATTAGTTACTTATTTTACCGATGGTGTCCAACCAGAATTTTTCATGCCCACCCTGAAATTTGAGTTTTCTTCGACTAGTTACTTATTTTACAGATGGTGTCCACCCTGAAAAATATTTTTGGATCATTCATTGTATGCTCGTATCTCTCTGGTTCGTTCCCCTTAAAAAATCACTTTTATTAATTTTTTAAATATTTATGATTTGGGTATTTCGCTATTGGGTATTTCCCTTTTGGTTCATGCTCTTAGATGGTTGTTTTGTGTTTGTTTGCTTTTATTTGGAGGGTTTTAGGTGAATTCTTTTTTAATTGATTTTAGGAATAACTCAACAAATATCCCTAATGTTTGACAGTAGTGTCATTTTGGCATGTATTCTTTTTTTTGTGGAACATATTCCTCCCAAACGTTTCGTTTTTGGTCAAATGATCCTCTCGTTAGATGAAAAATGTTAGTCAACTAACGGTCAATGCATGAAGATAATGTGATAAGCTTACATGACATCACACGCTGACGTGATAGTATCACATATACAAAGGTGATGATGTGGCAAATGCCACGTCAGCACAAAAAATAAAAATACTTTAAAAAAAAGATTTTTATGTAATTTTTATTTAATAATCAATCAGGCATCATCTCATTGGGTTAATTATGAAATTATAAAATGCATCAGTGTCGAACCCAAGTTAATGGGCTAAAACCCCAACACCTTACCACCAAGCTAAATCTCAAATTTATTTCTTTTTGGCAAAAATTAATATTTAGCATATACATTACTTCTCTTACATATTTTATCAAGCTTCTTCTTCATCACTTCTTCCTCATAATTTTCATCACAATCCTCTTATTTTCCTTATTCTACTTATTTCTCTCATCCTAAACTAATAAAAAGTAGAAGGAAAATAGTTTACCCAAATTATCAAAGATGATGTGGCTTTTTTCACTACCCAAATTATTTCTCTCGAAGAATTCCTGCTTCAAATAACCGATTGAATAAAGGTAAGAGTTTTGCAAGGCACTGAAGGCTAAGGGGAAAATATTTTAATGGAAAAATCTACTTTAGATTTTACGAGCGAGACATGGATATTTTTTTGTTGGGAAATAAACGAGTAATTTTCCTATAACCAGATTAGTGAGAATGCGAAATAAAAGCAGAAAAATAATACCCGAAATTGATAATGGAGTTCAGCCAATTTTGCCTACGTCTCTGAACTACTGCAAATCTTTTACTAAAGAGAGAAAAATTACAGGTACTTACAAAACACTCACAACTCACAAGAAAGCTCTCTAGTATTGGAAGAAAGAAATGATTTGGGATGATTTTGAAGCTAAATGGGTTAGGGTATTTATAGTTGAAGCTTAAGAACTAATCTTATAAATACCCTAAAGTATACAGGGATTAAAATGTAATTTTCCCATTTCCATTTTCAATAAAAAAATTGGGTACCGAATTTAGTGCCCCGTTTGTTGAAAAAATCAAGTCGATGCCCCCATTTGTTGAATCTGTGCTCCAATTTTTCTTGATTTTCAACGCCCCCAATTTGATGTTTCCTCTAACAATCTCCCACTTGAAGACTGATTTTAATCTATCTTCACACCTCGATCAATGTAGAAGTATTTCGAGTCTTATTACTCTAGCATACCAACTGAAGCTTAACACAACTTCAGTTTGTCCGTAGTCACCGTCTTTGTTAATATGTCTGCCATATTTTGAGCTCTACTAATCTTTTCAAGTTTCAAAATCTCATCTTCCAGAAGAGACCGGATAAAATGATATCGCAATTATATGTGCTTCATCCTGGAATGAAAAGATGGATTATTCGCTAGATGGATAGAACTTTGATTGTCGTAATACAAGACATTGTTTTCTTGTTTCTTGCCTAACTCTTCCAAGAAACTTTGGAGCCAGACCATCTCCTTGCTGGCTTCCGTAACGGCGACATATTCTGCTTCAGTTGTGGAGAGAGCAAATATCTTTTGTAGTTGAGAAACCCAACTCACTGCAGTACCTCATAGAGTATAGACATACCTTGTAGTGCTCCTTCTGATGTCAACATTTCCGGCTAAGTCAGCATCTACATAGCCTGTTAATATCGTATCTCCACCTTTGAAACAAAGTGTTTTGTTTGTGATACCCCGCAGATATCTGAGGATCCATTTAACTGCTTCTCAGTGTACCTTGCATGGATTATTCATATACCTTCTAACAGCTCCCACCGCATGAGCAATATCTGGTCTAGTACAAACCATGACATACATCAGACTTCCAATTGTTGAGGCATACAACACCTTCACCATGTGTGCACGTTCTTTCTCCGTCTTTGGTGATTGTTCTTTGGAGAGTCTAAAATGAACATCTAAAGGTGTACTTACTGGTTTAACATCTTGTATGTTGAACCTGGAGAGTACTTTGTTGATGTACTCAGCCTGTGATAACATCAAAGTCCCCGACTTTGTGTCTCTCTTAATCCTCATCCCAAGAATCTGCTTTGCAGTGCCTAGATCTTTCATTGCAAACTGCTTTGACAATTTTTGCTTCAAGTTTATAATCTCTTGCATGTCTGAGCCTGCAACGAGCATGTCATCAACGTACAACAATAAAATAATAAAGATGTTGTCAAACTTCTTGATGTAGCAACAATGATATGCTTGACATCTGGTAAAACCACTACTACTCATGAAACTATTGAACTTCTTGTACTACTGTGTAGGAGCTTGTTTTAAACCATACAAGTTATTCTTCAACCTGTATACCAGGTTTTTCTTGTCTGCCTTTATGAAGCATTCTGGATGCATCATATAGATTTCTTCCTCCAAATCACCATAAAGGAAAGTTTTCTTCACATCTAACTGCTTAAGATGTAGATTCTCTACAGCTATAATTTTCAACACCAGTCTGATTGTAGACAGTTTCACGACTGGAGAGAAAATTTGATTATAGTCAATACCTTCTTTTTGCTGAAAACCTTTGACAACCAATCTTGCTTTGTAGCGTTTGCTCCCATCGTACTCTTCTTTGATCTTGTAAATCCACTTGTTATGGAGCGCTTTCTTGTCTGGTGGTAATTCAGCTAATTCCCACGTCTAATTTGACATAAGCGAGTCCATCTCATCTTTCATAGAAGACTCCCACTTGACTGAATCCTCCACCTGCATTGTTTAATCATAGCACTCTGGTTCACCATTGTCAGTCAACAACAAGTAGTGCAAAGAAGGCGAATAACGCTGAGTTGGTTTAGGAATTCTGGATGAGTGTCTCAGTTCTGGTATGCTTGGTTCTTCTCGAACTTCGTCAGGACTGATCTGAACATTATTTCCAGAAATCTCCTCAAACTCAGCAAATTCCTTTGTTTCAGCTTTGGTATTGGAGTTACTTGATTCTATGGTTGACATGTCTTTGTACATCACATTCTCATTGAAAATGACGTCTTTACTTCTAATGATCATTCGATTTTCGTAGTCCTAAAACCGGTAACCGAACTCATCACCACTATAACCAAGAAAGACGCATTTGTTGGACTTAGCATCAAGTTTACTTCTTTCAGCAGAATTTATGTGTACATAAGAAATACAATCAAACACTCTTAAGTGTGAAAGGTTTATTTCTTTCTTGCTCCAAACTTTCTCTGATATTCCACCATCCGTAAATTGAATAATCGTCTCATCAAATGAACTTTGTTTGAGGCCGATGGCTTCTCATACATACTGGAGAGAGCCGACATAAGACCCGCCGTGGTCTTTTCCTTTGCTATTTTTAAAGCAACATTGCGGGATAACGTCAGTCGAATAACTCCGATGGCTTGTCTGTCGAGAAGAGCCCAGTCTTCATTCTTCATGCCCTCTGGTTGCTTTTCTGAGAGAGGTTGATATAGATTTTTCTGGTATAGAAAATCATCAATCTGCATCTTCCAAAAGCCAAAGTCCGTACCACTGAACTTCTCAATTTTCACCTTCCTTTCGTCTGCAACCATCGCTCTCACTTGAATCTGACTTCGTTTGTATCGTTTCTGACAATTTCTACGAACCACCGTGTATTAGAATACCTTGACAAATTCGTGTCGCCGATAAATTTTTACTATTTAAGTGAATAGTAATAAATAGTAACCTCGTAGAAAAATCGATAAAATTCACCACCAAATGCTCTGATACCAGTTATTGAAAAATAAACGAGTAATTTCCCTATAACAAGATTAGTGAGAATGCAAAATAAAAGCAGAAAAATAATATCCGAAATTGATAACGAAGTTAAGCCAATTTTGTCTACGTCTCCGTACTACTGTAGATCTTTTACTAAAGAGAGAATTTACAGGTGTTTACAAAACACTCACAACTCACAAGAAAACTCTCTAGTATTGGAAGAAATAAATGATTTGGGATGATTTTGAATCTAAATGGATTAGGGTATTTATAGTTGAAGCTTAAGGACTAATTTTGTAAATACCCTAAAGTGTGCAGAGACTAAAATGTAATTTTCCTATTTCCATTTTCAATGAAAAAAATTAGACACCGAATTCGGTGCCCCTTTGTTGAAAAACCCAAGTCGATGCCCCTATTTGTTGAATCTGTGCTCCAATTCTTCTTGATTTTCAACTCCCCCAATTTGAGTTTTCCTCCAACATTTTTCACAGAGCTTCACTTTATTTGTTCCCCTTGGAACCAGCGATGGTTGTTGTAATCCCAAGCGTCTTCTGCAAGTTCAAATGATGAAAGAGATGGATTTTGACTGCTCACGGTCACATATTTCTAGAAACGCAAACACATAATACATGCTTAAAGTAGTGAAAACAATAAGAAATGAGACATTCTTTTATTACGGTTAAAAAAGTCGAGAGAGTGGGAACCTCAGTTATTTAGAGGATATACAAAAGAGCATATTTGCACTCCATGCTGTAAAAGTCGTCATCAAGTCTATGCAGACACATCATATCCAAAGCTAGAGAGTCACGGAAGCAACTAAGAGAATGATGAAGCGAATTTTGAATAACAAGTCTCATATCATTTATCTCACACTATCACACGTATATTCTCCATACCACAAACTACACAAACATGTTCTCGCCTGGAAGAGAAAACCGTTGCTCACTTCTGCAAGAACATAATAATGGGTGAAATTAAGAGAGAGAGAGGAAGCCATGGCCAGAGCTTTGAAGGAGAAGAAAAAAAGAAGTTTTTAAGTTAGATAGATAAAGAGATAGAGAGGAGTTTTAACATTGGTTTATAGGGGAAAATGGGACTAGTGGGAAACCCAACTTCTTCGATTGAAAATAATAATGACAACCACCAACTCAATTATTTTCTTGTACAGACCCTTTTTTTTAAGAAGTGATAAAGAAAATTTTTGATGAAATGTGTGAGTGAATCATTATATATTATAAATATTAATTCTTGCCAAATATCATATTTGATATTTATCTTGGTGGTAAGGTACTGGGATTTTTATCGCAGTAACCTAGGTTCGATGCTCACTTCAAGCGTTTTTAAAATTCATAGTTAATTTAATAGGATGATGACATGTGGAATCATCTCATTGGTTGATAATTATTAAATAAAAATTATATTAAATTAAATTTTAAAAAATATTTTATTTTGTGTTGACGTGACATTTACCACGTCATCACCTTTATATATGTGACACTGTCACATCAGCATGTGGTGTCATATAAGTTTGACACACCATCTTCATGCGTTGATTGTTAATTGACTAACGGTTTTCATTTTACGAGGGGTATTTGACCCAAAATAAAACATTAGAGATGAATATGTTCCAAAAAAAATACGGGCCAAAATGACACTATTGTCAAATATTAGAAATATTTTATTATATTATGCCTTGATTTTATGTGTTTGATATCTTGTTCTTGTTAATTGGGTAAACTACTAAAATGATCCGTTACTTTTATAGTTATACACCTTTGTTCACTAGATTAAAAAAATTAAATTTTGGTCATTAAGATATTGAATGTTGTTAATTTGGTGTTGTGTCATGTTAATAGAAGAGTTTAATTTATATTTTAACTCTTAAACTTTAAATAAAATATTAATCATTGAACTTTTTATAAATCTAAAATAATTTAAGAATAAAATTTAAATTTACCTTTTTATAATATGTTTTCTTTCGAACCCTGACTCCTGACTTGCGCCGTACACTATTCATCTTCTCAAAGAAAATCATTGTAAGACTACTACAAAGCTGTAGAGCTGTGATCCTCTGATTTGGACGCATAAGCGACTGTATTTGTTGCACCACTTAAGCCGGTGAAAGTTCTCTTTGTATTAAAATCTATAATCATAATTACATATTTTTAGTGTATATTGTTATCTTTTTACGACGTAAAATTAAGTGATCAATTTTGATTATAAGTTATAATGTATTAAAAGTACTATGTGAATAAAAATATAAATATCATTAAAGTTGTATTTATAATTTAATAAGGGGTAGAGTTATTTTTTAATTAATCACTTGTATCTGATCTATTGATCGATTAATTCAGATCGGGTACTGCATAGGCGAGGGTAACCCTTCCAACCCAATTTACTCCATTCGCAAACGTCAGGATTCGAACCCCTAACTAACTGGTTGTTAGTAATGAGGGGTAGAGTTATAAGTATAGACAATAGTTGATTCTATAATTAGCTATATAAAAGGATAGGTCCCAAAAACTAGATCTTCTCATATTTTTTTCTTATCATGTCAAAGAATTTATACTCAAGAAAACTCTATCTTATTAGAAGATCACAACCAAATGAAGATTCAATGATTTCACTCTATCAATTAATTCAAGTACATTTTTGTAAATCTAGTATTTATTGTTCTTGATGATTTGACATGATAAGATCTTGGTTACTTTTTATATTTATTATGATTTGGTTTTAACAAGTAGTATCATCGCTAGATCGTGTTGTATCACTGAGCAGGGATTCAAATAACGAATGGATAGCGGTATAATGGTCATTATATCGCGATCGCAACGACATCCGAGATCGCTATCATAGAAAATAGTGGTGTGAAGCAGAATCACACTAACAGCGGTGGGTCACGACCACAATTTAACATATAGCAAGCAATTGCGACAATAGCGGACTACTATTCCGCTATTTTAATTTAAAAAAACAATTTTTTTTTAAATAAACTCATTTGAAAAAATTCACGAGCGATACCTACAATGATTGCAATAGCATCCATTATATCCGCAACCCCGATAAATGCAACGCAACTGAAAACGTGGTTGCAACCGTATTTTAAATCCCTGTCATTGAGAATCAAACTTTTCTATTATTCTTTTTCGATTTCATTTGTCTATGAAGTTTGAAGGATTCGATATTTGAATTTGGTATATGTATTAAAGATTGAAGTTAAAAGGAACTAGGTTTTGATTTTTTGGGGTTTAAAACGATTAGATGTAAATTTGGACCAAAATTTTAAGGTTTAGAATCTGATTGTTTTGATATATGTCTAAACCAATTATTTAGTGTATATCAAATTTAGGGGTATTTGTTTTCGTGTGATTTTAAAATTTTCTTCCAATCAAACACTATAATCTTACATTCCTGCTAAACAAACCAAACGCCCCTTAAGGTACTCTTTTTCCTTGGTATAATTTAGAGGGTTTAAGGCCCTTTTTTAAAAAAACTGTACGCATGAAAGACGCTTTTTAATTTGTAGTAGGAAAAAAGTCTATAACACCATAAATTGAGTTTGGTGTAGAGATGACAATGGAACGGGACAAGTAGATATTATTAAATCTATCATCGTTTCTCGATTAACACACTCTGCGTTAACCCGTTTCGAATTTTGCTAGTAAAGACCTAAGAGAAATGTACAAGAAAATACAATCGAGTAAACATATAGGTGGAGTTCACTACATTTTCTCATCCTCTTGTCAAGATGAACATGCCTCTTGTCAAGGTTCGTGTATCCAAGGAAAAACCGAAAGAATAAGAATGGGAAGGGCGCTGCATTAATCTTCGTCCATCGAGGGAGAAAATACGTAACCATAATGTAAACACTAATTTTCGTCCACATATTATATATATATACATATACATCTATGTATATATTATAGTTCGCAAACGGTTTTGAAAATACATATATAATATATAGTTTTTTTAAAAGCATTTTGAAAATGAATATAGTATATAGTTTTTAAAACACTTTTGAAAACTATATAATATATAGTTTTTAAAACATTTTTAGAAAAAAAATATATAATATATGGTTTTTAAAATCATTTTTTGAAAACTTATATAATATATAATTTTTTAAAGCATTTTTTAACACTTATATATAATATATAATTTTTAAAACATTTTTGAAAATTATATAGTTTTTGAAAACATTTTTTGAAAATTATATAGTTTTTATTTTTTTTTTTTGAAAATTTATATATAGTATATAGTTTATAAAAAGAAACAGTTTTTAAAAAATGTATATTATATAGTTTTATTTATTTATTTATTATTATTATTATCATTATTTATTATTATTATTTTTATTACTTATTTTATTTTTCTCGTTTCCAGGTCCAATAACAATCCAAGAGTTGAGTCTAAACCAGCTCAAAAGTCCAACCAGAACGGGCCTAAACTAGCCCAGCAAGGGATTAGGGTTTTTTGGTTTCAATCAACGCCACAGGGGAGGTTACACAGTCAAAGGGTGAACGGACGACCGAGATCCCGAGATGACCGGCCAACCACGAACAGAATGACGTGAGACCCAAAACATATGGGAACACCCCCATATCATCGAAAACATCCCCTATTGGGGCTGTATAAATAGACACGGGGAGAACAGAACAGGGGGTGCAGTTTCGTTGAGGTGGGGATGGAAAGTGATATTTGCAAGGTTTAATCTCCTTGTCGTCCTCCCATATCTTCACACTGAAACATATCAAAACAACAATTCGCCTCCGGTTCATGATGAACCAAGAACTAACAGTACTGTTAATAAGGAGGGACCCAGCTCCAAGGATAACAATCAAGAACAAGAAAAACGGGATAAAGGTTGGCTTCAACTCAGTATAGGCGGTCGAGACTCTCGCATCAAAGCCAACATGATCTGCTCCAACGTGTTCTCCTTCTTCACTGAATCCAACGCCGAGCCACATTATATAGACAATTTGGAGAATGTTTTAGAGGAAGAGAGTTTTGATGGATCGAAAAAGAAGAAGATGCTTTATTTTCCCGGGAAAATGGAATCAAATTCATGGAGATTTCATTTTTCCAAGTCTTCTTGTTGTTCGTCTTCATCTGGGTCTAGGCGTCGCCAATCACGATCTATTTCTAGAAGGAGGGAATGCTAAGCTTTCTTAGTAAAACAATTTGGAGCATCAGCTTGGAAATCGAAAGGTGTAGATACGACTTAAGCATAATTTGCAAGAGTAGGAGCAGCGCCGTTAACTTCCCGATGGATAAACCTAGCTGAAATGTGAGGATGAGCGGCCAAGAGTTGACGAGCGTCGCGAATATTGAACTGTTGAACAACATTCCAGCAATCACTTTCAATCACCACCCACGACAACTCAATACTCATCGCCAATCAGACATCATATGCGATCGCCAAAGCTTCCACAACACTTGCTGAACGAGGAACACCAACAAGGAACGCTTGTCCTGCCATAACAACGCCATCACTATTGCCTAAAATCATGCCAATTGCTGGTAGAGCATGTGGCCGAGGGCAGGCACCATCGACATTCAACTTGAAAGTACCCATCGTAGTTTTAATCCAACAAAGAAGATGGTAACATTGAGGAGGTATTTTTAATTCTTGGGTTTGTTCTGGGTTCCATTTTAGGATTTTACGTTATTTGGATATATATATATATATATATATTAGTTTAATCGTGAAAACATTCAAAATCGTGCCTCTTGTCATTATTTTAATCGAATTTTGTAATTTGTTCTTCACATGTCGCTGTTGCTATAGCTCATCGTGAACTTCTGTAATATTTTGATTAGGTGTAAGTATGAATTCTCTTTTTATTCGTTTGGAGTTAAATTTACTAGCTAATTTATAACAAGTGTCAGTTTTGGATTACAACATTTTGAAGTATTCTACTATTCTTTATAATATTCATCTATATCTG